CTGCTCAATTCCCATAAAGGTATCTCACGAGCACCCCATGAAGACATATGCAACTCTCCACCTCACAGTCTCTTTCCAAAAGACCCAACCTAAGACAAGCAGAAGTCAAGAGCTATTCATGCCAAACAAGAAAACATTAGCTTAGGAGAATTCTGTTCTGGAAGAATTATTTTTTTATAAAATCAGAGAGGGCTGGTGATTGCACTCTTCAAGATAACATAGGTTATGCTGTGGTCATAAATTAAATTGACCGTATAGAGATAGTAATACAGTACATATTTATTTCTATCTCAGAGTTCACATCTGTGAAAGAAAAATCTGAGGCACAATAAAATTTTAAAGAGTTTATTTGAGTGAGAAGTAATTCATGAATTGGGTAACGTCAATGACAGAGAGTCAGAGGGAAGCATTTTTTGGAGAAATGTGGAAGTAAAATAAAGAAATCTGGTTGATTTACAGTTACATACTAATCCCTTTTTTGGGGGGGTATCTTGTTGGAAAGTCCCTAGTCACATAATGTGTTAGTTGGCTGCTTATGATTGGATGGGGTTAAGTCTTATTTCTGTCTAACATAAGCATTTACCAGAAAGGACCAAGTTAAGTTTCAATTGTATTTGCAATTAGTTTCCAAGTCAGGTGTCATTTATGTTTGCAATTTAAACTAGATTAAAGCTATTTTTTATTTTAACTTTTTTTCATTGTACACGTTTATGGGGTACAGTTTGTTGTTTCAATGCATACATGTGTACTGTATAATGATCTAATCAGCATAGTTAGTATATCTATCACCTAAACATTTATCATTTCTTTGTGGTTATAACATTCAAGATCCTCTCTCCTGGCTACCTTGAAATATACAACACAATATTATTTGCGATTGTCAACCCAGAGCACCAGAGCGTGTTCTTCCTGTCTCTCTACATCTTTGTAAATTCGTACCCATCTACCCACCTTTCCCTGTCCGTCCCTTCTCTTCCCTTTCCCTGCCTCTGGTAAACACTAGTCTACTCTCTATTTCTCTCCTTTTTTCACTCTTCTTTTACTTTATTTTTAGATTGTCTATTATTAAGGTTTTCTTTGCTCAGGAATTTTTCAAGCCAGGTCTTTATTTTAATTTTACTTCAACACATCCAGCAATGATTGCTGGGGGAAGGGGGCCTTTGTCCCACAAGTCAAACAGGACAAAGATGACGGAATCACCGCCATCATGTGTCATCTGAAACTCGTGTCCTCTTCAATTCCCATCACAGACAGGGAAAACACATGGATTATCTTACACATTTTCTTTTATGCTTTGTCCTAGAAGCGATACCATTGGTTACATCTAGTCACAAATTCATTTCTAAACTCAAGAAGGTGGGGAAACACAGTCTCGTGTGTGCCCAGAATGAGATGAGAACTGTATAAATGTCCCCAGGGCAGGTATTCATACTATTCATCAAAATTCTGTTCCCTCTCCCTCTTACATAGAGAATTCTTTCACTCCCTCCTCAAAGAAAACAACCCGAATCCCACTAATCGTGATGTTTTCCTTTTCTTATTCAGATCACATATGGCCCTTTTCACCCCAACCTGAATGATAAAGACCAGTTTCCAACTCTCTATCAGATGACCACCAAGGACAGTATCCTGGTGCATGGAATAATTCGGTTATTGCTGCATTTTGGCTGGACCTGGGTGGAGGTCTTTATCTCAGATGACATAAAAGGAGAGCAGTTCCTGTGGGAGCTGAAATCAGAGATGGTAAAGTACGGTATCTGCGTGGGCTTCACAGCAAAGTTTCCTGCCGCGGGGACAAAACCAATGAAAAACCATTTGGTGTTCATGAGCAAGATGGGAGTTTCATCAGCAAATGTTTTCATAATGTGTGCTGATGCTGAGACTTTTGTAATCCTGGACATGGTGCAAAAACTCTATCTAACTAGGGGGAAGATGTGGATTATAACAACAAAGTGGTACGTTGATTTGTATGAGATGGTGAATGTACTGCAGCCTCTTCACGGAAGCCTCTCATTTTCCCGTCAGAAGAGGGAAATCCCTGGTTTCAAACACTTTCTTAAGACACTTGACTCTTCCAGATACATGGAATACTATTACTTCCGTCAATTCTGGCGTGAAAGTTTGGATTGCATATCTGGTGAGATGAAATGTAAGGAACTTGAAGACTGCCCACAGAATTCTTCCTTAGAGCTTAAGCGAGGAAATATTGACATGATGACTGTATTTGACTCCAGTTACCTCATCTACAATGCTGTATATGCTGTGGCCCAAGCCCTCCACAAAATGCTCTTGGCAAAAACAGAAAAGGGATTAATAATACATGCAGATCAATCTGTGCTTCTCCCCTGGCAGGTAAACCTCCTCCAGATGCAGATTTTTATTAACAAACTGATGGCCTCTGGGGGTTTTCTATTGAGATACAGCATCATGACCATGATTGCATCTCAGGGTCAACAGGATAGGTCAGAATGAGTAGAGGATTCTTTCACATTGCATAGAGTTTTATGCGTAATTCTTGAGTATATATTTTTAAAATCCTGTCTTCAGTGAGGCTTCAATTTTAAAGTATGTATTTAGCAAATTATCAAAAAATTTTCCAAAGGTAGTAAAAAGAGCTGTATATTATGACCCAACAATGACTAATGACAAAACACAGGGAGGTCAAAAATGGATACAGTTTGTATTTTTCATTAGTATACCATGATATCCTAAAGTGACTCTAGAAAATGGACTTACTGAGCTATCACTTGTGATAACTGAGCTATAACTTGTTATAACTCACAGAGCTATAACGCTCTGACAAATACAAGACATATTTTTATTTGCTAAGCGTGCAACATCATGGAACCATGGATTATGATCTCAACCATACATATGAGAACACTTATGATGGGTGTAAGATTCCGGGAATACTCCCGCTGAAAATGTATTTGCCTGGATGTTAGAATCCCCATGTTGTGCCCTTTAATGTACAAGGATTCAATTCCAAGAGCCTGAAGAAATTTTATTGGTCAGTGTTATACCAAAGTCCATGTCTAAGCCAATTCTGGGAGGTGATATAGTTGGACTCTTTTATT